GTGATTCTCTCCTACCATGGGACCTGGGACTGGAAATCAGGTCATCAGGTTTGTGTGGCAATCTCTTTTACTCACAGAGACGTCTCACCAGCCCCTAAAGACTTTTTGACAAATATGTTAGTAAAAATTCAAATGCTTCCTCTCCTATCCACCCAGACCTTATAAATTATCGGGAAGAGATATGAGATCAAATCCAAGCCCACAGCCCTAGCTCTTGTTGCCTGCTCTCTCTTACACTTAGAATCTAAACATTAGGCTGTTTGCTTAGTTGCCAAGTGCATGTCAAGCATGTGCAAGGCCGTAACTTCTATCCTCCAAAACAAAAACAAAAAACAGAGTCTAGCCGGGCGGTGGTGGCGCACACCTTTAACCCCAGCACTCGGGAGGCAGAGGCAGGCGGATCTCTGCGAGTTCGAGACCAGTCTGGGCTACAGAGTGAGTTCCAGGATAGGCTCCAAAGCTACACAGAGAAACCCTGTCTTAAAAAACAAAAAACAAACAAACAAACAAACAAAAAACCAGAATCTAAATCTTAAACGTCTCTCAAAATCCAAAGGGAATGGAGAACTGAGAAAAGACATTTTAGATATATTCAAATCAGAAAGTTCATTTAGTTTTATTTGAATGGGTATCCTGAGAAACTTGGAAGGGAAAAGAATCAGGAATGAGCTGTAATCGGAGCTCTGGGGAGGCTGAGGCAGGAGGATCACAGTTTGAGGGCCAGGTTGGGTTACATAATAGAACCCTATTTAAAAAATAAAACAAGAGCTAGATGGTGGTGGCGCATGCCTTTAGTCCCAGCACTTGGAGGCAGAGCCAGGCAGATCTCTGTGAGTTTGAAGCCAGCCTAGGCTACAGAGCGAGTTCCAGGACAGGATCCAAAGCTATACAGAGAAACCCTGTCTCAAAAAAACAAACAAACAAACAAACAAACAAACAAACAAACAAAAGAAATCAAAAATAAAAATAAAAATGAAAAAAAGAAAAGAAAAGAAGAAAAAGAAAAAGAATCCAGGTGCAGTGGCTCATCCATGCCTATGACCCTAGTTAGGCTGCAGCAAGTTCAAGACCAGCCTGGGCTACATACAGAGTGAGTTCCAGGCCAACCTGAGGTAAAGAGGGAGGCCACATCTCAAAGCCCCAAAACTTACAAAAAAAAGAGAAGGTAACTTTTATATAGTACTATATAGATTTGAGGAGAATAAAGGTAGATAGATTATTCCCCTTCCAAACACACACACATATAAATGAATAATATATATGATAGGACATCAGTCTATACATTATACATATTGATACATTATAAAGTAATCAAAAATATGTGTAGAGCTTTCTCTCCTTTTTTGTTTTGTTTTGTTTTGTTTTTTGAGACAGGGTTTTTCTGTGTAACACTAGCTGTCCTGGAACTCCATCTGTAGCCCAGGCTGGCCTTGAACTCAGAACTCAGAGATCCACCTGCCTCTGCCTCCTAAATGCTAGGATTAATGGCCTGCACCACAACCGCCTGGCTCTAGTTTTTTTGTAAGCATATAAACCGAATGCCACTAGGAGACTGCCCTGGTGAGACACTAGTGTTTGAGTCTCCAAAATGGTCTCTTCAAGTCCAACAGGACGTGAATCTTTCCCCTACCTCCAGCATTCCATCAGATAAGCTCAACATAGATCTCTGGAAGAACTGCTTCAATGCTGGGAGTGGGTAAAAAGTCTTCCGGCTAAAGCTCCTCTCCAGTACTGCAGACCAAGAAACGCCAAGAAACTGCCTTCTCTGGCAAAGGTGGGCAAGATTGTCCATCGCTCTCCAGGCTGTCCAATTCACTCAACCATAGCTTAACTTCTCAGGCAGCCATGGGTTAATCATAAAGATTCCAGGGATCCTGGCTAATCCTGGCTATCTGCGGGGTTCCAAGTATCCACTCGAAAGGCAAGACCTAAAGAATCACAGAGCTCTCCGCCTTAATCCCAAGGCATGTTATCTGCCCAAATTCCTCGGCCAGGAAGGATGGGATAGGGGAGGGTCTCTAGTCTAGAAGCACACACTCAGTTCTCCATGAGCCCTGAGACCTCTCAGGCTACCTGTGATTTCAGCGATCTGGGGTTTGAGTAAAAAGGAAAGTGGGATGGGGGAGACGAAACTCACCACAATGATACAACAATCTTGTCAAGAGTGCGCCCAGAGACAAGGGACACCCTCTCCCAAGAAGATCGGCACAGTCAGGCGTCCAACTAACTTCATTCCACGAGAAACAAACTTGTAAAGCTGACTCTTTTTATTCCCCCTGCTTTCTCCAGCCTCACAAACCCTGCCTCTAAATTCCTTTAACTCCAGAACCAGGTGCAGAAACGCAAAGCAAGAAGGGGAAGGAGAGGCGCTGGACGGGAGAGAGGAATCCAGTTCCCCTCTTAAAGGAGAATCTAACCCAAGGGCACTCCCGGAGCCCGGAGCCCGAGCCCCGGGAGAGGAAGTAGCTGGATTCCCCCAAAGCATTTTCCTACCTTCTTGTTGTTCTTGTTATACCCAAAAGTCGAAATCCCCGGCCTGGAAGTCACTGATAGCAGCATTTTTTTCTTTACGGTTAGGGAGCTGAGAGAGAAGAGAGGGAGGGAAGGAAAAGGGGTGGGGGGGAGAGGGAGGGAGGAGGGGGAAAAGGAGAGGGAGAGAGGAAGGGAGGGGAAGAGGGAGGGAAAGGGAGAAGGGAGGGGGAGGAGAAAGGAGAAAAGGAGCAAGAGAGAGAGGGAGAGAGAGGGAGAGAGAGAGTGTGTGAGTGAGTGGGGGGGGGGGCTGCGGGGAAGAATGAGCTGGGTCTGCCTCACGTCACTGACAGAAGTTAACTCGGAGTCAGGACAAGCCGCCGCCGTTCCACTGGGTCCTAATGCCCAGGACGTTCTACTTTGGCTCGTTTTACATGGGCTTAGTCAAGTTCAAGCTAGAAAGAAGGGTCCCTAGGTCTAATCCTTTTCAGATGGACCCCATCCCTCCCTGAACAAGTTCCGACTCTCACAAAAAGACAGTTATCCTATTGTCAATGAAAAGACAAAGGTTTTTGTTGTTGTTTTGTTGTGATTTGAAACGTTCCCTCGGATCTCAGCTACAAGATTTCAAGCTTGGCCGGGCAAGATGGCTTACTGGTAAGGGTTGCCAAGCCTAAGTCAGGTCCCCAGTCTACAAGGTAGGAGAAGACCAACTACCAAAATTGTTCTCGGACCCCCACAAGCACCCAATGTGGCACGCCCACACGTGCACATACAAAATAAATGAAATACAATTTTTTAAGATTTCAAGCTTGATGTAAAAGGACCCCCCCCAGCCCCCGCTTGACTCTGCCTTCTGGAGCATGCAAAGAACAGTATGCTTGAGATGCAGTATGTGAGATGAGCTCAGAGCTCAACTACTTATACTTAGGGTGATCTTAATGCATTAAGAAAGAACATGGAGCCCGGTGTTGGTGGCGCACACCTTTAATCCCAGC